ACCTGGTCGCGGAACGAATCCAAGGACTGCTTCGTCACCAAATCTGGGTTATCCTCATATATGCTCAGATGGACATTCTCCGGTCCCAGCAATTCCACGAGCTGCAGCACCTCTCTACCCCAAGCGCCAGACGTCAAGTCGCCCTTCTTTTCGGCGAGCGAGGCGGCTATGAAGACCTTCTCGTTGTAGGGGTTCGCGCGCCCAGTGTCCGTGGCTCGCTTGCGTAGCTCGTCGTAGTGTGGAGGCCTGACTGTGTAACTCGGGAAGAAGATGCCGGCAACTAGCACTAGGACGATCAAGAGGTACGGTACGGAGAATAACGTCCAGTACAGGATGCGTAGAATGGAGCGCTTTCGGCGGCGCGGGGTGACGTAGTGGGCGTATACGGCGCGATCCGAGAGCTTGTTGACTGCATTAAAGCGACTGCTCAGCCGGTTGAGCCAGGAGCGCCGTGTATTTGAACACTGTTCATCCTGACCGACAACAGCTTCCTCGCCATCAACATCGAGGGATTCGCGCGGAACCAGCTCATACTCGTGTATGGGCCGGCGGGAGGGTTTAAGCATCGGAGAGTCTTGGGGGTCGAAAGGGGCCTAGTTAACTCAGGTCCGCGGGCGCCATCAAGCGATGATCGGGCGCAGGGCTGCAGTGGAGGCGTTTTGTAGCGTTGACTACAACCACAGCGAAAGTGAGTGTTTGTATATCGGAATGGGAAGCGGCGGGAAGTAGTGAGTGACAGCAGTGTGCACAACGCAGCGAGGTTCCGCTTCTTGGGGACGCGCAATTCACACGGACTCGCGACTGTTTGGTTGGGGTCACCCATCGCACAGGGTCCAGCTCCCTGACGACAGCCCTGGAGTGGAGCTTGCCTTTTCCAGCCGCCAGCACCAACTCTAATCACGACTCAGGCCTGGATAGCCGTTTCGAGCGCCCGACCCTCGCTGCTCTGACCAGAGGCTAACCCTCCGCGCTGCGAACTGCCCACATCACAGTCGCACCACGCCCCCAGAGCAGAGCATGTCGCGAACCCTCTCACTGGCAACCCTCCTCGGGAACCGAGACTGCTGCATCATCATCAACATCATCAACAAACCTTAGCCCATCCTGGCGGCTGGGCCTTCTCTCGGTGATTAGTACCGTCATCAGAATCTGCACATGGGTGGCTTGGCCAGATGCTCGGCCTCTTGGTCTTCGGTCATTTGGACGTCGATGCCACAAGCGAAGATCCATCTCCCGGAATCGCGCGGAGCTTTCCGTCGTACGACGCTTGTAGCAGGCGCGTACCTGGCAGCGTATCGATATACGAACGCGTGTATACATTTGCACTGCCTTACACTACTCCACAGACCTCAAACAACTGGCGCATGCCGTTGCGCAGACGCGTTATGCCTCACAACCCATACTACCGTGATTGCTAAAGCTTACACAGCATACTCGTCACATCGCTTGATGCCCGTGTCTTACGACGTACGTGATGATATCTGATCCAACTATTGGACGTCCCCTCATGCAGAAGAGCATCTGCCACGCTAGCGATGCAGCAACCCTGGCTTTGATCCTCCACGCTCGCAACACTATCCCCAGTCCCATCCCACCACTACTCACCTTTGTCCAGACTCGATACGGCTGACCTAGGCGAGCTGAGTGGGCTTCGTAATTGCGAGATAGGAGACAGTGGCGCAGACCCAGTACTAGCCTTCGGACGACCAACACTGCCGGGAGCCGACGGTATCTTCGGTGCACTCAGCTGCCCCTCAGATGTTGGAGTACATGGTTCCTCAACTACCGGTACCGGCATGGGGGAGTAGCGGGGCACGTCTTGTGTTGTTGGCGAACGTTCCTGCCGTGGTTTCTGCTCGGACGGTCGATCGTTCCATCCGCCGAGTTTCGGTTCTTCGTCTCGGGCACTAGCAACGACCCGTTCCCTTTCGTTCCTCGGACATGTGTCGTCGTTTAGCTTCGTATTGGTCTCTTTCGCTTCATGTCCTTCGTCTTGCGGCTCGTCCTGCCTTCGTCCCTGGTTCCTCGGGCTCGTCGTCCGCTGTCTCCACCGCTCGTACGTCCGAGACCGAGGTACGCTAGAGCCTATTACAATAATTGTCAGCATACACTCCGTGGAACAAACGAGACTTCAATCTACAAACGAGCAGCGGGATCAGGGTAGCATTACTCGGTGCGGGGCGCGTTCTGCTCGTGTGCAAACCCCATGGCCTCGCTCTATACCCGCTCATCGGCGTGAAAGGGGCGTACCTGGCTTGATTGTCTAGTCCATCCGCCCCCGTTGTGTCGCGCATCCATTGCCGAGGATACGATCGAGGCGTATTCCACGCTCTCGTTGCTGAGTACGGATGCGGTGGGTACTCGAACGGCAACGTATCTGCGAACCCAGGCGTTGCTCGCGGTATTGACTCTCTTGGGACTTCTTGCGTGGCGCCAGACGGGTCGCTAGAGCATGACGACGACGATGACGACGATGGAGGCGCTGCTTTCTTAGGCGCTGCTTCCTTGAGCGCTTCCAGCACGATAGGTGGGTATTCATCGCAAATGTGGATGAAGTCGACTTTCTCGTGTCGATGAGGGTGTTTAGCTGGAGACTTCGGTTTCACTGGAGGAGTCCTGCGGTGTTTGGTCTTCGGCACATCCGTACTCATCGTCTCTGAGTAGGGCTGTCGATATAGATGCCGATCTCGAGGCTGGTACTGAGGCGGATACTGAATGGGCTCAGGCATCGTTGCGGTCATCGGCTGAAATGACTGTTGCGGTGCGCTTGTCGGCATGGCATAAGGTGGCATCTGAGCCGCCACTTGGTTTTGCCATGGCACTGGCATCCGTTGCGTTATACCCGGACGGTGGCACACAAAATTAACGCCGGGGCATTCTTCTTGCCAATCACCCGGAGGATAATATGACTGTCCGTACGGTTGCTGTTGTTGTGGCCCACCAATCTGCATCACTGGCCTAGCTCTCTCTCCATCTCTTTGTCCCGCCCAACTTCCTCCACCATTCCCATTCGCATACCCCACTCTCTGACTCTCCACATCTCTCCCTTCATGATACTTCCTCGTCTGCGATCTCTCCCTCCTTCCTCTCTCCCTCCCTCTCTTTGCAGACCTTGACCGGTGTTTTGACGGCTCTCGGTATCGCTCTAACTCCCGCTGCTCCACTTTCTCAACATAGATAACTGGCGGCGGTCTCGTTCGGCCGGGAAACAGGAAATGGAACCAGTGCTCGAGTTCGTAGCAGCGCTGGTGGATGTAGCAGTGAACGTACCACAAACCGAGGTAGACAAGTGCGGTGCCGAAGATACCGGCGAAAACGAGGGCGATTATGAGATTAGTCGTTGCCATGATTCGGAGCTACCTATCAATTGCAGAGCTCAAGCCAGCCAACAACTTCTCAGCAGAGGAACAACGCAGGTAAAGCAAAGCAAAGAAGAACGAAGACACGACTTTGCATTTTACCGTCATCCCAAATACAGTCGTACAGAACTAACCTCTAGTGTGTTTGTCGTAGACCAACACCACTAACGAGAAAGCAAACATTCAGCATGCCGTGCAACTCTGCCATCCAATCTTCAAGTCTGCCAACACAGTAGTCGCCACCCTTATGAGGACTCCGATAGCTCTGTAGCTTGTGTTTTCCCATAGTTTGTCTCCCAGCGCTTGTAGAGGGGTCTAGCTACAAATGGGGGATATCGCCGTGGATGTTGATTATCGGGGTGTGGTACATGCTCGAGGGACAAACTCGTGCGATAGGGCGTAGCCGCTTGTGCGAGCGCGGTATGTTACACGGATAGTGAGGGGGCTGGGTGCGTGTTCCTGGGCATGGTTGTGATTACAGTGGTTTGTAGTCGTGTCGCTGGTCTCTGTGATTGTAGTCAGCGTCTTTGTCGATATTTGGATAATGGTTGTTGACATACCTGATGTCGCCCTGATTGACTCTACCAGTTCCCCTTGACTTCGTTGCCACCTCCCGTATCCCATCCTGCTCCGCCTCCGGTTGTGTCCCATCCTCCTCCTGCCGCTGGTGCTGCTGCTCCTCCACCTGCTCCAGTGTCCTCCCATGCTGGAGCACCTCCATCTCCACCGCTATTACTCTTCGCTGCTCCTCCACCAGCTCCTCCGCTCATCGCCTTACTTCCTCCACCTCCACCTCCACTCTTGCTCTTCGCCCTACTCCCTCCACCTCCACTCTTCCCTCCCGGACCCCTCCCCCCTCCACCCGCACTCTCCCCTGCCCTTATCTCCCCACCTCCACTCTTACTCTTGCTCTTCTTTCCCGCACTCTTACCACTTCCCCCTCCTCTTATCCCAGCCTCAGCATCCCTCTGATACCCTAACTCGTGAACTTCGAGATCGATAGCCCGCCGACAACTCTTCGTGAGGTAGTACCCGAAGAGACAGCAGAAGAATGTGATGAGGACGAGGGTGAGGATTATGGCGTGGACGTAGTACATCGTGTGACGGAGCGTGGGTGCGTGGGTGGTGTTGGGGTATGGGTGCATAGGTTGACGAGTGAGTGGATGAGCGAGTGTGACGCCGGTGTGTAGTCTTCGTATGGAAGAATGTTATAGACGAATGGGTTTGACGACAGCGTCGAAGAAGAAAGCGCGGTGGTGAGATCGAGTGTCAGCGCGTTCCAATGTCGCGTTGGTATCGTGGGCCCGCGGGCGGCTTTTGAGAGCGCGAGACGTACTGCTCTTACTGTGCGGTCGAAGGCATGGCGCGTAGGTCAAAGTAGCGCGAGTATGAGACACGCGTGTGGAAGCGCAGTAATGGCGGTTGGTGTATAACTGCGATGTTGCGATATCGCGATCTAGGGAGAGAAATCCATCTTCACCTTCACTTTCACTTTGCTCAAAGAGATTAAAGCATGTACAGTCATGTCCAACGTCGCAGATTGAAAATTTCCTCGAGAAGAGGAAAGTGGATTAATGGTATGGATATTGTCTAATCATCGTATATGTTATTACACGGGAACATAGTTCACTGCCCCAACATTCACTCTACAGCCGCAATCCCCGCTTCAACAGGCTTAGGACTCGTTTTCTCGCCGCCACCTGGCGCAGCAAGAGTGATGTTCTCCGCAGCCGCCTCCTTTTCTCCCTCCTTCTCCCCTTCCTCACCCTTCACCTCGTTCTGCACCGGCTCCTGCACCTTCGCAGCCGGCGTAGGTGTCGGCGGCGGCGGCGGCGCGACAACCTTCCTACTCGGACTACTCATCTCCCAAAACCGTCTCGGCACGTTCTTCGCCGGCGGCATACCCAGAAAGCCCTTTCCACCCATACTCTCCAGTGGTTTGGCTCTGCCTCCCACATAACATCCCAAATCGCCGCTCCAGACGAAACCGCCTCCGACTACACCTCTCAACACGCCGAATGCGCGGGCGTCGCGGTATGCGATACCCGTTTCCGGGTCGCGGTACCGGGCAATGGTGTTGGTGATAGGACAGAGCTTTTGGCCTGGCTTGAGGACAATCTCGGGCTCGGCTTTGGGTGCGGCGTTCTTCCGGGGTGGTTTTGGGGGCGCGATGAGGGTTTGTTGGATGTAGTTTGCGGCTTCGGCGGGGGTCCAGTTGAAGAGTGCTGTGTATAGTTGTACTAAAGCCGACTTGTCCTTTTCTTTGAGGAGAGAGGCTGCTGTTCTGGCTCGCGAGGAGGATGTTGGTGGGGCTTCTAGGTTGGGAAAGTTGGAGAGGATGAGGAGGTTGCGGAGAGCTCGGCGAATGACTTTGCGTCGCGGTGGCTGAGGGGGTAAGGCGGGTTTTTGGAACTGTGCGAGCAGGGCTTGGGGGCCGATTGCGGAGTCGCCGTTTTGCTGGGGTAGAGAGGGATGTAATTGGTTGAAGAGGGCTGTTTGTGCGTCTGAAGGTTGATGCTGTTGATTCTGGAAGGTAGAGGCTTCCGTAAAAGGGAACGGAGGAAGTTCGTTGCCATGCATGGGCTGGGATTGCTGGTCTTGGGCGTACTGATCGATGCCATAAAGAAACGAATCTTGACTTGGTGGTGCAAACATTACCGTGCTGGGATGCTGCATGCCGAACGAGCCCATGAATACGTCGCCGCCTTGTGAGGCTGCTGCTGTCCAAGGTTGTTGTTGTGAATTATCTTGTTGTGGGGGCATGGTTGCGGGTATTGGCGACATGTGTGTTGAGCTACTGAACTGATCAAGAGACGGAAAAGAAGGCTGTGAATTATCTGCTTGGTTATCCGGAGCTTGTACCGGTAGCTGCGTAGACTCTGACTGCGTCGATGTCTCCGCAGCTGTGACCTCCTTGTTGAGCTTTTCCTCGAGATGCTCCAGACTCGGTGCGTCCTTGCCTGTGTACTTGAGCTTATCATCGACCCAGATGCCCGGCCCGCTGTAGTACCGGTAGAAGGGCCCATCGATCTGTCGATTCTTCAGGGCGTCAATCTTGGCCTGCCTCTCTGCTGCCCTGGCTTCCTCTGCCTCTTCCCATCTGTGCAGGGTTTTCTTGTTGATGCGCTCATTTCGAGCAGCCTCAGCAAGCCTCTCAGCCTGGGTCAAAGGCTTCTCCTTGGACTTCATCTTCCGCGCCTCTGCAGCCTTCATCATAGCCAGGGTGTCATCGCGCCTCCGGTCCTTCTCCTTCAGCTTGGCCAGCGTGGCATCCTTGTTTGCCACTGTCTGCTTGCGCATCGACATTCGAACCGGGCCATCCTCTTCGGTGGGTAGCCATGATGCCCTCTCGGACTTCTTCTTGGGTCGCGGGGGCGCAAGCGTGGGCGACTGTGTGCGGGGGACGTCGAGCTTGACCTTCTTGCGTGCTTGGGCGGCGACTCGTGCAGTGAAGGGATTCGTTGTGGCTTTGCGCTTCTTATTACGCTCTTGTCGCTCGGCCTTGCGCAGCTCCTTCTCGCCCGCCTCGTCCTCGTCGGCATCGTCATCACCCTCTTCTGACGATGACGAATCCATGTTGTAGTCCTCCTGCTCGTTGATGTCACCGCCTTGGAACTCCTCCTCGTTTGGCGCCTCCTCCCACTCCTCGCCCCATTCCTCCTCCTCGGCCGATTTGGCGAGCAGGATGGACATGCGATTGCCGGCATTGGATCGCTTGGCCCTGGACGTGACCATGAGCTCCGCGGGCGCTTCCTCTTCGCTCTCATCCTCGGATGCCTCCGACTCGTCATCGCGATGTGACGGCGGGGCATCCTCCATGGCTGCCTGGGGTAGCTCTTCGGACATGGTGAATTAGGAGTCCGGCGGCAGGCGCGAGGGAGGCGGGGAAGGTGCAGACGAGGGGACTGGAGCCTGAGGCAAAGCGAGTCGGACGGCAGCGATCAAGGTTTGGGCGAGGCTTTCCAGAAGGATTCCATGCGACAGCGACACGGATTATGCGCTCCAGCTGTGGGGTGAACGGTTGGCAGCATGGACTGCAGGGCGGCGGATTCGTCTGAAGTGCGGTATTATGCGGATTGTTTCAAGCGGCGTGATGGCAGCATGTCGTGAATTGCGCGGAGTGCGTGCAATCGAGAGCACGCGCCAGCATGACGCGACGGGCCAGGAAAGTCGCCAAGTCAGCAGAAAAGGCTTGGCGCGGCCCGTCTGCATCTGAAACGTAGTGCGCCTATGATAGAATCAGATAGATAAACGTCGTTCCAAGGTACCGCACCATCGGCTGTCAACGCCTCACTAAAGCTCTTTGGGTCTGCGTGGCCTGTCAGCCTGTCTACTTCAGGACGTGCAGCACAAGGCATATCCGCCGTGGTCTGACATATATGTTTTCCAGAAGGGTTGTTTCGACTGTGTGGATGCTGCGTCGATGCATTGCAGGGTCGTAGTCTGTAGTCTTGATTGCGTGCCACATTGTATGCTAGATGATAGCAGAGACTCAGTAATGGCGTACACATCGGGCTCAGAAAGTCTAATAGGCCGTTGGTATGCATGCAGGACCCCAACGCACCTCCATCCATGTTTAGCAGCAGCAGGCCAATCACGTCGCATGGCCGGGCAGAGGCACACAGTGTCCACGTCAGATTCTGGAGTAACGGACTTTCTCGACGCGCCTCTGTGTTTCAGACGCTGGCGGGCATGCGCTGCTCTGTCCCGCGGCCACCCACTAAGGACACAATTGCAGGACGCAGCCCTGGAGCCACCCGGGCGCCCTTTGTGTGCCCCTGAATTGTACAAAAGCAAAGCACCGCAGCCGTGCCATCGCAACCTCACTCGCCGTTGCACTTAACAGCCCACCTACAACCGTAGCCGACCGCGCAGATCGTGCCGTAACCTGTAACGTGCTTGTTCTGGCAGCCCGCCCAATTGAGCTAGTTCCCTCGTGTTCCTGGTGGCTCCCCATTTCTATCAAGCGAACCTCACCATTCATTCCCTCGCAAGCATCGCTCCATCGCTCATCGCTCTCTTGCTCCCGCCGCGACAACTAGCTGTATCCGCCTCCGCACGAGCTCGCATGCGTAATCGGCCCTCGTCCGCTTAATCCTATTACTTCTGTTCTCCAGGCACTCCGGTGATCTGTCTATTCCGCCCGCCTGCTGCTGTACAGTACCGTACCATAATCGACACCCGCCCAGTCTCCGTCACTCCTTCGCGGCCTCCCTCGCCGTCGAGCTGCACCACCGCCCCCGGACTGGATCCATCCCGTGTCGTCGTCTTCACTGTACACCAGGCTGCGCTGTGCTGAGCCCGGTCTTGCTGGCAATAATCCCTCGCCTCACATTCCTTTGGCCGGCACCAACCCTCCTTCGATCCCTTACCCTGGCTTTGGTAACCGAGTCACGACGACTATTCTTCCCTATTAGACTACCACGGTCACCGCAGGGTCTGTAATCCATAATGGCTCCCACCACCAACCGCCCCGAACACCACATCAACCTCAACTACATCCCCCAGCTGCCCCAGCCGCCGCACTCGGGCTCCTCGACGGGCAACACCTCGCCCGTTGAGCCTCCCAACAGCGGCTCTCTGCGCTTCGCTGGCAATGCCCCGAACCCGCTCGGCAACGCGAGGCTCGGGAACGGGTCCCCGTCGCATGACTATGGCGGCCGCCTATTTTCCAAACGGTATGTCGCACCCTGAAACAAGTTCCGACTCGTGCTAACACCCTGACAGTGCACGCGAGATTCAGGCACAGGAGGGCTTAACTCCGCAAATGTGGGGACCTCCTACCAGCGGGAATTCCACGCCGCTGCGCGAGACCATCCCCGAGTCCCCCAACAGCGAGAACTTGAGCTTCCCCGACTTCAACAACGCCGTGCCAGACACCATGTCAGCTGCACCCGCTCCCAACCGCCGCGCCCGCGCTGGCACCCTGCCCTCCCGCTTCTCCCCCTCCGCTGCCCCTCCCGGCCTCATGTCCGGCAGCTCGCTGCTCCCCAAGAGCTCCCGGCCAACACCCTCGACGAGCCCCTTCAAGCCTGGGCCAGGCACACCAACCGACAACTCGAGCTTCAACGCGCTCGGGTCTACAAACGCTGCGGCCAAGTCTGCACTGCTCTCACGTCTGCGTGCTGGCTCAATGCCTCAGCGACCCGGTGGTTACCTCCCTCCCTCCAACTCGCCGTTCGGCAACTCTATCTTCTCGGGCGGCTGGTCCAACCAGCGTGACCGTAGCAGCACCCTCCAGAGCATTGCGTCGGTGCCGTCAAATGGACAAGGTTCGCCTAGGTCTTCCTTCTCCCGCGATTCGCTCGCCGACACCGATGTCAAGACCCTTGACTACCTTGGTCTGGTCGACACCCCGCAGCCTGCGCGAGCTACCTTGGCTCCGTCCGACATCGAGCTCCTCCTTGAGAGCCAGAGGAACGCCAACAACCAGAACTCTGGCGGTGCAAACCGCTTCCGTTCCTACTCTGTCAACGCCAAGGAGAAGTACGCTGAAGAGGAGGAGGATCAATATGGCGCATACAGCGGCACCATCACTCCCGCCGAAGCCAATGCCCTTCTCATTCACGAAGCCGTTCGTCAGCACAACCTCGAAGTCCAGGCCTTTGCGAACCTCGCCTCCAACGCGCGTCCACGTGCTCGCACCGCCGGCGTGCTAGATGCTCCTTCGCGGGGCATGATGCGGCCCTACCTGCCCGCCATGGGCCGGTTTGACAACGGCATGGGGACTGGTGACTTGACTGAGGATGCAGAGTACAATCTTACTGAGGCTGTCAAGAAGCTACACTTGCCTGGCTCTAACCTCGGCGACGATGGAACTCTGGAAGGACCCACTCGCTCACTGTGGCTCGGCAACATTCCATCTTCGACAACTGTTTCGTCACTCCAAGTCATCTTCGCCCAGTACGGTGGAATTGAGTCTACCCGTGTCCTCACACACAAGAACTGCGGTTTCGTCAACTACGAGAATCTTGAGAGTGCCGTCCAGGCTAAGTCAACTTTAAACGGAAAGGAGATCTTCCCTGGTGCTGGCCCCGTCCGCATTGGTTACGCCAAGATTCCAAGCGCAGCAGCTACGCCTGGCCACAATGGTCTGTTCCCTTCACCGAGTCCTGACCCGTTGTCAAAGGCTCAGGCTGAGGGTACAGCTGGCTCTGCCGCCGCTACCAAGGTTGCTAATATCCCTGCGAATGTGCCCTTGACTACCCCAGAGCTCAGTGACATCCGCAGCGACATCATCCAGATTGTGAAGGAGCTGGGCGCCACCGACGACGAGCAGTCAAGGATCACTACCAAGGTTGAGAAGGCTGTCCAGTTCAACAACTACGTCGACGAGATCCCGTCTGTCGAAGAGCCGAGCCACACTCGCATTCACGACGCTCCTAGACTGCGAGAGATCCGCAAGCGCATCGACAATGGATCCTGCTCCAAGGAGGACATTGAGAACATCGCCATGGCCATGCTCCCAGAAATCGCTGAGCTGTCTTCTGACTACCTTGGAAACACTGTCGTGCAGAAGCTGTTCGAGTTCTGCGAGGAGCCTACCAAGGAAGCCATGCTTCGCGAGATCGCACCCCACCTAGCCAAGATTGGTGTGCACAAGAACGGAACATGGGCTGCGCAGAAGATCATCGATGTGTCCAAGTCGGAGACTATGCAGAAGATGGTCGTGGATGCTGTCCAACCTTATGCTATGGCTCTCTTCCTCGACCAATTCGGTAACTACGTCATGCAAGGCTGCCTCAAGTACCAGAAGTTCAACGACTTCATCTTTGAGGTCATGCTGGGTAGACTCTGGGATCTCGCCCAAGGTCGGTTCGGTGCCCGTGCTATGCGAGCTTGCTTGGAGAGCCACTATGCCACCAAGGACCAGCAGCGCATGGTAGCTGCTGCAATCGCTCTTCACAGCGTGCAGCTCGCAACCAACGCGAACGGTGCCTTGCTCCTGACCTGGTTCCTCGATACCTGCACCTTCCCAAGGAGGCGTACGGTCTTGGCTCCCCGCCTAGTCCCGCACATTGTTCACCTCTGCACACACAAGGTTGCATACCTCACCGTCCTGAAGATCATCAACCAGCGCAACGAGCCAGAAGCTCGTGACACCATCCTACAGGCACTGTTCTTCTCTCCCAACGACCAGGTATTGGAAAGCATCTTGGCCGACCAGAACTGCGGTGCCACCCTGATCTTCAAGGTACTCACCACTCCATTCTTCGATGAGCAGATCCGTGCGGATGTAGTAACAAACGTTCGCAACGTTCTTCTTCGCATAAAGGCGCAGCCCCAACAGGGCTACAAGCGACTCATGGACGAGGTAGGTCTTTCCACTCGTGGCGGACCTGGTCATCGTGAGCACTCCGCAACCCGCCCAGCGTCGAAGGACAGCATTGCGTCTGGACCACCAAACCCTGGGCAATTCTATCAGGGTGCGGCAGCTGGCTTCGACCCTGTCGCACTCCAGCGCACAGCAAGCATGGACTCCAATGGCTTCGAGCAATACCCAATGGGTGGTGGACCCATGTACATGCCAAACATGCAGGCCATGAACAACCAGCAGCAGATGCAATACCAGCAGCTCCTGGCCCGACAGGGTCAGTTCTACCCTCAGATGAACGGCTTCCAAGGCCCCGTTCCGGGCATGGACGCCTACCGCAACGCATCGCCTGTTGCAGGCCCCGGCAGCTTCAACGGATCACCAATGATGCAGCCCGCCAACCTCGCCGGTCAGGGCATGCCCGGCATGTACCCTCCTTACGGCATGTACATGCCACCCCAGCACCAGCAGGCGGCTGGAGGCAATCAGCGACGTGGCAGAGTAAGCAGAAATGCGTCCCCTGCTAACAGCGTCCGCCGTTAACATCTCTTCAGAGATAAAAATCGCCTCGCCTGAGGGTTTAGATTCTCATCTCCTCTTAGAATTTATTGTGCTGCCAGGAAAAGCAGCACTATCTTCCTGTATATGATTCGGATCTTCACCTACGACGCATCTGCTAGCGAGCATTTTTTGCAAAGCGGCATATCACCATACTTGCCATGTCTTCTCCTTTGCTGTCTTCGGACTCTTACGATTCTCATATCTTTTCTTCTCAAATCGGCACATGGCTATCTGTCGGCCGACGATCGTCCTGTCTCGTCACTCGCTTAGCCACCTTGCTTGGGTGTTTCGGGGCGTACTCTTTTGGAGCTTGTATGTCGTTTCGAAATGAAGAGGAGCTTACCTTTTGTGGGCTCTTGTCGATCGATCGGATGATCACTGTATCGATATGAATGCGCATATGAGAGTCTGGTTGGAATGATATATGCGACCGGTGACGCCGCAAAAGTACCGTTACAATGGCATGATGTTTTGGGATTTGGGAATCTTTGCACACCGATCTTCTGTCTTCGTGGACTGCATGGTGGATGGAGGTGCGGGATCGGGCTCGAGCCTGCGAGCTAGATAGAATCGAGATTCTTACTCTACGACCGCGTTATAGTCCACACTTTGTGACATTCCACGTGCGTCGTCATGTACCACTCAAGAAGTGACTCAATCAACGGTATCATGACTCTTGTTCGCGCACGTACAGCATCCTGAGCTGTTACTCAAAAGTCATAGAGCGGAGTGGGGTACGTCCATGACTATACCACTGGCCTGAGCCCTATTATGACATCCTTACAGTCACTCCACGAAGTGTATATATTGATACGCATACTCCCGTGATGTCCCTTCATCTTCAATACATTACATAATACTGCTACTGGTCACGAATTTCCAATCTATTCTTTTGAAAAAAAACAAAGATCTACCCGCTGCAAAAATGCCCGACATCTGGAAAATAACACATCTCGTCGGACCCACCAAACAAGATACGACACTCGAATATACAAACTGCACGGAGCTGAAAGAGCTTTACCAAGATCTCTTCCCGAAAATCGTTAATGAAGATGAGGAGAAAGGCAAGGGTGACGACCGTTGTGTTCTCATCCCCGTTAATGATGTGAATAAGTACAAATATATGTACGGGAAGCCCGGGGACCTTAGGGAATTTCCTGGTTTGATATGCCCTAAAGACGCATGGATAACTCCTAGATGTGAGTCTGCTGACGGAGGACTGCTTTTGTCACGTGCTAAGGTTATTTGCAGTGCTTTCGGAGATGGTGAAAGTACACGAGGACTGGCTAGGCGAAGACGACTCGGAAGACGAAATATTGGAAGCGAACGGAAAGGGTCAAGAAATAGGAGAGGAGGAGGAGAGACAGAGAGATTACGTTCATTGTACCTAAGTAGTCCTCGACGATGAATCTGAACATGTCTGCTGTGTCGTTTCTCGCTTTTTGACTCAGAAGTCGACTCAGTGCAGTGAATAAGAGTCACTGTACGTACTTAAGATCTCGGTGTATCGAGGTGTACCTTATATCATCGACCCTTCAAACGCAGTCTCACTGCGCCCTAATAGTCCAACAGAAAACATGTCTATACCAGCCATGGAAGGATTCCTCTTGATCACATATCCCGCAACGCTTCCCAAAGAAGGCAAAATTCCTGTCGAAGAGAAGATCAGGGGCCTCACAAATCATGAATCCATCTTGGACTACGTTGACCTTGGGGAAAACGGTCGGGAAGAAGATGGTCTGGAGGTGCGAGGATGGAAGATCCAACATATTAGCGACATTACCAAGGAGCAGGCTATCGTAAAGTACGATATAAAAGATGGAGAGTTTGTGGAGATTGAAGAGGGCTACGAATGGAAATGTTACGAGAAGGGCCGATGGGCCACTCCTGGACGTACGTCGAATGACGTAGAACCAAACAGGAAGATATGAACTAATGCGAGATCTAGTTCTGGCAAGAATCAGGCTTACCAGGGTTTACAAGATACCATATTGTACTAGCGCGGGTGGCCCTACAATCGACGGCCATACTAGTGAGTTACATATTGCCCGGGAGTTTAATAAACCCGTGTCGTCTCCACCCCTGATGTTCCATGCCAACGAATGGAACGTCGCGGAAAACGAGCAAGAACTCCAAAATGCTAAAGACAGTGATGGGGGTTGGGTGCCTCTCCACCCGGATATCGCAAAGGGCGCCGGCGGATGGATTACCACAGGCTGTGAGTCCTCATGTAATCCACAGAATAATGCCACGCTAAACGATAATCTAGTTCAAGATGCCTACCTTCAGTTGCTGGATCAGAGGAAAAGTGGCAAAGACAAGAAGGCAGTGGAAGTGGGAGGCAAAACTAAATCTCCTGGGTTCTTCCAAAGGTGGCTCGGCGGCGGGAAGTAGCTACGAGTGTAGGAACTGGAAGCACGATCTCCAGGCTAGAAATCTGCCAATAGATCAACATATTCCAGATGATGCAACCAGTCGTGTGATGAAACAAAGATACAGAAATGAGTCCCACCAGCTTCACAATCTTGCTGAACTTTCTGTGACTGTTCAACCCCTGACTCCCGATATATTGTGTCGTTACATTGCAAGTAAGAGTCATGAAGAAGGGTGTGACATGCCTACCTAGGTACTCATCAATGCAAAGTTACCCACCGTTTGGATATCGTACATCATTGTTATAGTCACCATCGCAGTCACCATCGCACCTGGGCAGTCACCGCGCTGACATTTGTCTTGACTCACCTGCTGAATCATATCCATAGGTAGTCACTACTATAGACTCATACCTCATGCTGTCGTTGTCGCAGTCAGCGTGCGAATGCTTATATTTTCGTGTCTTTGCTCTTACACTTCAACACACTCTTCACAACATCATTACTTCCACCAAATTTGTTCGTATACACCCATGGATACCTTTACATCTGCCTCATTTATCGACTTGACGATAAAGTCAAAGCTCTACCTTGTCGTCTTTCCCACGAAGTTTCCTCCAGAGGGAGAATGCGATGAAAAAGATATCGATATCGGCTTCACTAATTCTCCGACTGTAGGGAAACTCATGGAGAGATCGACCACGGACCCCGACCTGCCAAGATGGGAATTTGTGGACCTGAGTCAATTGAGCGAGACCGCCAAGGAGCTGATATTGACGAAGCATAACATCAAGAAAGAAGACCGCGTGAAGCTGACCGGGTGGGACGAAAAAAGCTTCGGCTTATGGGTCACTCCTCGACGTACGTACAATTCTGAAGTATTATACGGCAGTAAACGGGCTGACACGGTGATTAGTACTCTCCGCACTGGAACTCGCCAAAGTATACAACATACAATACGAATGGAATTCCAGCGAAAAATGCTTTGCAAAGACCGGTCACACAAACAAGCACGCTATTGCGGGTAAGGTTAAAGCTGCCGAGCGCCTGGGTTGGAGGTGGAAAATAAATGTGACGGTTATCCTAGTGAAGAACGAGGAAGAGCTTAGGAAGCTGCGGCATGAGGATGGGGGGGCTAAGCTGAATGCGCCATGGGAATACGAGTGTGAGGAGGTCATAGGTTGGATTACAGATGGCTGTAAGTTCTATCTGCAACGTTGCAAAGAGTGGCATGAATTGATGCTAAGTACTAATACAGTGAATCGTGCACGCCTCGCATGTATTGAGCATGAGAGAAAGCGGCAGGAGGCACTGGAATCTTCGAGTTTCAATCCCCCAATGTTTCCATTGCCATAACTGAGGGTACAACTCGAGCCCCAGATCTCTGCTGATGGACTTGTGGTTTCTAGTTTCTGTCTCAGGCCGTACGATTCCAAGTGGTATTTCATCTGGTTCTTTCAGCTATGTGTATCATAGACGTATCTCATCATGATTTAACCTCTGGCTCAGATGTGACTCACTGCAGTTGACGGTCACAGTTCAAAATATCACTCCTCACCATTTGACGCACCATGTTGACACAGTGATTCCAAGAGTCATTTGGCATGTGTCAGACTGCGTTATGCTCAACAGTAACTCACACCATCGAACCTCTACGCAACGCTTCACTGCACCACACTGCATCCATTAGGTTACCATCACCTATCGCGACGATGCCGCACATCTCTTCAATGTTCTTTCCCGAACATCTTTCCATAGCAGGCGTCATCCTTAGCAACGGAAGGAGTGAGGGCATCACGAACCACGTATTCCTGAAAACACTTGTTGACGAACTCGTCGAAAAATCGGGCTTCCGTGGATGGGAAGCAGGAGATCTACTTCACGTTACGAGAAAAGCGGTTAAAAGAAAGAAAGAGGAATACGAAGACGAAGGGCCAGTAGAGATCCTTGGCGAAGAGTGGAAGGCTAATGATAATGATGGTCGGTGGGCTACTCCTGGATGTGAGTAAAGTGACGCAAACCCAGAATGCGCCTAGTGTATTAACGTGCCTAGTGATGAAAGTACTTCGTAGCTGCAGATACTACGAAATAACTTATCGTTTCCGGCCTCGCACTGGCTCACCAGACGTTTACAAGACGGGCTACACGAGTAGTTACTCCATCGTCAGAGGGATTGAGCGCATTTTGAAGTTGCCAGGGCGGCCGTATTCGCGATTCGACAAATGTGACATAAAGCTAGTTGCCAGCGAGAAGGATTTCAAGAAATACCAAGATAGTGATGGTGGATGCGAGCGCCTCTTCAAAAAGGGGGTAGATGGGGAGATGATTGACGACGGATGGATCACGAAAGGCTGTAAGTTATTCTTGGGTTGGCGAAGAGCGTACCGCAGAAGTTATGCTAAACAACAGTCTAGTGTTTGCCGTATGTGGAGTGGCTGCGGAACTGATTCCCAAAAGAAAGAGGAAGAAAGGGAGGAGATTGAGGCTACATCAACGCCCTTTGGTTAAGTGACCTAGCGGTGGAGAGGGGTCATGAGTGCGGTGAACGGAGGTGCGAGCTCGACTGTGCACTTCTGCTAAGTTGTACATATCATCTCAGTTACACTTTTAGCTATGCAGTAGAAAGTAACATTAGACTTAATTCTAATATCTTGTGAAGCTCACCAGCTCTTGCAGTGGCTACTAACTGTTCGACTCATCGTTTCTGTCACCGCTGGTAGTCACAGCTCACGCTATGATGAGTCTATTCAGAGCTATCACTCATCCTAAAGTTGAGAGTCATCATCACATCATTCATCTCAGTCACCATGATGACGCAGAGCTCTTGGTATCTAGGTATTTAAACTTACCCAAAAGCTGTGTCGAAGTCTTCAGAGCACCCGAAGCCCGTTGCCTATCCTTTTAATACTAAGACCCCATACAGTCTCTCAATCATCCACGATGGTAAAAAAATACAGGATAACCTACACTACGGAGGCGTCAGGGGGACCCCCTAAGACAGGCCATATGGATTCTTCTCACCTTCAGTGTTGCATCATACATCTGGCAGACACGGTTTTCATAGGATGGACGGTCGAAGTACTAAGCGATATTACCGACAACGTAACAGAGAAGAGCTACTTCCCTCCAGGTGATGGCGAAGCTGTGGAGATCGATGCGAAGTGGGAGCTGAACAAGCGTCGACACGCTACAGCTGGATGCAAGTGTCCTCCTGCAAAATACTACATGACTGAATGAACTCACAGTCTTCTTAGTAATGTCAAGACTGGATGAACTCTGGCCAGTAATTGAGAGGACCAACGTACACGAAGTAAGATGCCCTATCGCGACCCATAATAGTACAAAGATCGAGACCACCCATACGAACGATCTGGAACTTATCGGAATGATCGCATTTATCAAAGAGTGGCTGCGTAGGGGAAAACAATGGGAGTTCAAATCCATCGATGTCAAAAGCCATGAAGAACTCGTGGAGATTCAGCGCAAGAATGGAGGAGCTACACGTACATATGCCAAAGCTGAGGATGAAGTAGACGACGAAGATATTGACCGAGGGTACGAGGGGTGGGTCACGCCAGGACGTAAGTATCAGGTCTCACATCTAACATAGTAGATACAGTACTGAACAGCAATCTAGTGTACAAAGCGATTGAAAGAGCTTACGATTCCGCATACAGAAAGGAAGCCAGAATCCAGCATGAGGAGTCCCAAAACGTTCGCCGCGTACGATATTATGCAATGATTGATGGTCATAGGCTGCCGGTGATTGGCCGCACGAACTCCGATCGTGTTTTTGCGAATATCAACATCATCAACGACGATATCAAAAAAAAAGACCCACGTACGAAATGTCTTTGGGAAATCTTGGTCTGTCCGTTCAAAGACTACGAAGAACTCATCGAAGAACAGAGATGTGATGGAGGATGTATAAGAGCGCGCAAAAAGGGCAAGGACTATGGCGATAAGATTGACGGTATTCACGAAGTTGACAAGAAATGGTACAGAGAGGAAGACCCTCAATATTCAGGGTCAGAATCGGAGGACGACGAAGAAGATTACTTTGAAGAATGCTATGAAGGAACATGGTCAACTAGAAAACGTGAGTCTTTCTTCCAAAGTTAGCAGGTTGTGAACAATGCTGATGACCAGTCAGTGCTCATCGCACAAGACAAGGCCGCGAAAAAAGCTGATTGGTTTCCCAGTCATCTCCGACTGGGGAATGTCAGCAAGAAGACGCCGGCTTCTACAGAGAAAGGTGACTTCAAAAAGGAAAGCAGCAACCGTAAAGAGGAAGGAGAGCAGCACGTCCTTTGGTGGATGAAGCGTCAAGGGTGATCATATCAGTTAACTCGTCAAATAGCCTGATGGTTCCCAAGTGTTTCTTCTGTAATCAAATGTGCAACTCACCACATAAAAGGCAACTATGACAAAGTCAGACCAAAGGAAAAGTACGATAGTGGGAACAACAAAACTTCAATTTTGGCCGCCCCATATAAACTGAGCGTGGGTATCATGAACTGTGTAAACGCGCCGTAACTCCCTGACGAATACAGTTACATCTTAAACATTGAGAAACATGGCAAAACATTGCTGATAGCACACCCTGGAGGTCCTCATCGCGTTAAAATCCAAACACTCAATGACCGTTGAGACCATCGCTAAATTTCCGCTTTTTAGCCTCGCGCTCACCATCCTGAGGCGGGCGGTATTGGTCCAGCTTGCCCTGTAAACGATATGTCTCGCGTTTAATGTTTTCCGCGTTGGCCAAAAGGTCCATCTCGGTAACCGGAGCTTCAATACTAGCCAGCACGCTCCTAACAGTGCTGATATGATTGGCATCCTTCTTGTCGTCGCGCCAGCGCGGCGTGCCGTCCGCCTCAGCCTTGTATTTCCACTGCCCACCTTCTGTGCGGTAACATTCTATGATACGGCCGTCGAGGCGTTGGTTCAGGGATTTGAGCGTCTCCCATTCGGATGGGGTGACAGAGAGGGTGGCGAAGACCTCGTAGTGGTTCGCGTTGTGCTGCACGAGCAGCTGTAGGGGGGTGGGCATGGCGTCGTAGTCGGGGATGAGGCCGTCTTCGCCGTCTTGTGGGTCTATGAGCGGGAAATCGCCGAGGCGGAGCTTGAAGTCAATGGTGTTCTCGTGTGGTGGCTTCCACTTGAGGATGTGTCTGTCGGTTCCGAACTGGTAGGGTGTGGATACGCAGGTGAAGATCAGGCCGTCGTTACCGTGTCGGAGGTTGGGGAGGATGCTGCTAAACATGTCCTCGAGTTTGTATGCAGGGTAGGTCTTCTTTCCTTTGAGTGCAAACGGCTTCAGGTCGTCTGGTGTAATGTTCTTGCCAAAAGTCCTAGTCAAGCCGGCTTCGTAGGGCTTGATGACCCATTCATGCAGCCGACCCAACCGCTTGTCCAGTGTCCTTTGTGTCACATTTGTATTATCTACCGCCAAGCAATCGAAGACATAAAAGTTGAGACGTGGCGCAGGCTCGTTTGGATATTGGTCGTGGACCAGCTCGCCGTCCAGAAGGGTTCCGAATAAGAATGGCTCGGCTTCGTTCAGGTGCTGGTAGTGACGTATGCGAAATGGAGGCTGGACGTTGTAGTAGTTGTTCTTCCTGTCGATCAGGAAAGTCACAGGCTCGAAAGCTCCGGTCGGTCCCTCTTGCCAGTGCAAGTAGAGCAGGCAGCGCAAGCCGTCCGTCTTCTCGCACATGTAGTATTCATTGCGCTGGAGCTCCGTGACGTGTTCGCGCGAAAAGGATACGGGTTGCGCGCCGGGAAAGCGTGGGTTGTCGCGTTCGAGGAGTTCGGCGACAGATTGCTTGAGTGAATGCGCCTCGTCATTTGGGATCTGGAAGCCTGGAATCTGCGGCGGCGCGTGCGATGGTAGCGCGGCGGCGGGCATATTGGGAAGATACTGGAGGTACTCGAGGCTCCGTAAGAGTTGGGACGGCGAGCGCGATGGATTCCGTACGCGGGGGCGGTTGGAGGAGGGTTGGTCTACCTTCGCGGTCGCAACAATAGTTGTACAAGCAATGGATCGACCGGGCGAGCTTACGCGCTAGTGAAGGTCTGCTTATGTAATCGCTGGCTGCGGCTGCCTAGGCACGGCTGTGACATGGCCCATCATGCTTCTGACCTCGCCTAAGATTCAGAAAAGCCTTGATGTATCCGCAGTACAGTTCTCACCATGCCGACGGTTTTTGTCGCATCAAATCCGTTAAACGTCATATTGCCAGCGTACCGACTGTCCCATACCTAGGTATACTCTATTGTAACCATGGTACTACGACCACGCACAACGCCGCGCCTATAAGCCATTACCAAGCATATGACACCAACATAGAAACTGAAAACTCAGAGGCATAAATTCCTTTGCTCTTGCCGAGACTTCTCTCCCTGTTCAACAGAATCATCACCACAATTCTCACATCCAGTTACTGCCAGACTCCATACATACGATGAGCGACTTACCCACTGAGATATGGGCCATGGTGTTCGCATATTCCGACGATACCGAACACCTCTGGCTTTCCTGCCGTCACGTCTCCAGCAATCTGAAGGCTGCCGTCGAAATATACACCAGCACCATCTTCCTCCCAAATTTCCTCACGGTATCCCTCGAATATCAGAGAAAAAACAAATCGACCATATCCTGCAGTCGCGGTCTTTTCAAAGGATACTCCCCAGACAAAACCCTTGCTTACTTCGATATGAGCCGTAACGACCGGCCATTCATTCAGTACATTGACACGCAGCGAATGTGTCTCTACGTCGACAAACTACAAAGGGGATGGACAAACAAGGGGTTTGAAGTGCTGGCGAAATTGAAAGGGCCAGATCACGACCGTGCGATCTTTGTCAGACTTTTGGATGGCGTCACTGCTAGCCCTGCGGATAGTAACGAGGGAGTTCTCACCTTTGGGCTCGACTTGGAAGATAGGATCTTGTCCTTTGACTGGCGAGAGGTCATGACCAAGAGCTTCATGGATAGTACTGATTGCGGGGGATATCTTATCGACCACCTGGCGTGGCGCGGTCGTGATAACAGGTTTCCCTGGTGGTGTTAGTGGTGGTTTTGGACTGCTCTATCGGAAATGAAGTTGGGAATGTTTGTGGGATGAAAAGGAAGAAACAGCTCTGATGTGTTGCTAAGGATAGGCTCTATCGCGATTGCACATATCAAATGGAGAGTGTTTGAGGGCTGTATAAGAGGTTTTGTTGGCACTGAACACCAATCAGAGGGTATGTAGTCTAATGGTCAAGGCGCCCACTCTTTCGAGGGTGTCGTCGGGCTAATGAGCTCGACGGTTCATGGAGATACGGGTTCGAGTCTCGTCATATCCAACTACCTTTTGCTCCTTGGATCGTTCTTTGTCTAGTCTATTGGAGATGGACTTAGAGATGTCTGGCGAGGGACAACAAAGAACAGCCATGACGAATGCAACAAAGAAGCACTACGAGGACTGCACATCGCGATTAAGGACATCTTAGCAGCATTTAAGAGGTATTATCCGTGTTGAATCTCACTCAAAGGGTACATAGTCTAATGGCAAAGGCGCCCACTCTTACGAAAGTGAGAGTGACGCTGGACTAGACGGTAACGTCTAGCACAGCAGAAGGAGATGCGGGTTCGAGTCTCGCTGTATCCACTTACATTTTGCTGCTTGTATTGTTTTTGCCTTCATAGTTGTCATCTCGTTCTAGACTTGTGCTTCTTTGTCGATACATAGTCCTAGCTAGTCTGAAGACTAGAGACTGCTGTGCTTTAGCTATCCTGCCAAACAAAACAAATGATTACACAGACAACTTCAAGTTCGTGCAGCTATATGTGCTGGGGTAGGCCGAGTTTTATCAGGAGGTAGACGTTGGTGAACAAGCGCATACCGGGCTCGCTTTTCACTAGAACGCCAGGCCTCATATTTGGAGAGAGCGCCTCAGCATCCAAGCTTTCACTTAATTCAACGCCACTTCCTTGTACTATGGAAGGTCTGCGCTTTTTCTCGAAAGGGTAGATTGCGTGTTCCAGTATAGGCTTTCAAGGTTTCGATGAGCAACCCAGGCATCACTCCACCGAAACCGCCATGTTGTTGCCAACCCTTTCCCTCTTTTTGGCCTTCGTCACCGCTTGTCCACCGCCTCTTAACAGCTTCAAATATGTAGCCAATGATACCCACACGACATCACAAATGATCTCTAGCCTACTTGTATCTAGAGACGAATCTTCTTCACTAAGTCGCAGATGGACTGAGATCGTAACTATGGTATGCTCATCCCTACGCCCCAACGCATGACGTCCAACTGACCGCTCAGCTAGACCGGACAGCCTCGTACAGTGTGGCCCGACGGGCTGGTCCGATACTGTTTTGAAGACGAGAGTGCTCGCAATAACTTCAAGGACGACATCGACGCAGCTTGGAAACTCTGGGTGGACAAGATCGGTGAACCCGGTTGCCCAAGCGGTCACATACTTCAGTTCAGGGAGTACAGAGTCAAGGAAGGCGTGTGGCCGTACTGCTACAACAAACGCGAAAAGGATGAAGACCCCTGGGTCTGGAACAAGCACGTCAAAAACGACATCGCCGTCATCGCCGAATCCAAAGATACTGAGACTCAAGCTTCTTCGGTCACAGGCTACATACCAAAAGAATGGAGTGACGAGCAAGGCCGACACGGCATCCATCTCGGTCTGTCATTCAAGCAAAAGTACCCGCCAGATTACTGGATCACAACCGTCGCCCACGAACTAGGCCACCTCTTCGGATTCTGGCACGAGCACCAACGCGAAGACCGCAACGACTACGTTCACTTCGACTGCTCCAAACTGCGGGGTTACGCAGCTGCGAAAGCGAAAGTTGATGCGGCGAAAGAACATACCATGGAACAAGTTTGCGCCGACTACCGTCTAGCTCTCCAATACGATTTCCCTGCTGTTCAAGACTACGATACCATTGATCATATCGCGCCTCTCCGCGAGGGGGGTATTGAGTTACCATTGTACATCAATAGTGACCTGGAGTTTGACGATGAGTCTATCATGTTGTATACCTCCGCGGAGTTCGCAAACGACGGAGCCAATACAGACGACGTCCTACAAGTTCCATTAGCATTCTGGAAACACCGCGGTGTAGGTTTCGATCCACCAAACCCAGTCACAAAAGACGACCTAGAAATCATCGACGTGCGATGGAAAGTCAGTGACGGAGATGCAGACGGCGTCCGTCATCTCTATCCATACGTGGACTCGGACGAAGAAATGGAGAAGAGAAAGAGAGATCAGCCTGGCCGCCGGACTTGGATAGAATGGACATCCGAGTTCAACAGCATGT